TCTTTGGCAATTGGGCGGCGGTGCCTCACTCGGACTAGGAAGGCGGCGCGCCTCAGGGCGTCTTCGAAGAGGCCGTGGAGGAGCGGGAAGTCACCCTTGGATCGACGCCAGGTTTTCTCGAACAGCTCGCGGAAATCGACTTCCTCGGAAGCGGATGTGGCGCCCGTAGCGCTGTCGGGCTTGCAGATCCCAAGGATGGCCTCGATCGCGTCGCCCGTTCCCTCCTGGTCAGAGTGCGGAGCCATGCGCATCCCGGGCCCCCTCGCGGTGGGCATCATGAGGATGGACGTGGCTCGTGCCTGCGCCATGGGAACGGGGCCGGCGCCTTTCCTGGCCCAGCCGCTGAGCATGGGGTTGGCACCCGCCTGCCCGCAGACGATGGCCCCGAGGCCGCCCATTCATGGGCGCGCGCGGTACCTGCTGCATTGCACGATGGAACGCCCCCATGTACTGGGGAGCTGCTTCGCCATGAGAACGGCGGCGTGCACTTCCCGAGGGTGGAGCGGCATCGCCACCTTGCACTGCGTCGCGGGCGGTTCTGCAGGTCGTCTGTCTGCGCTGTCGCGTCGACATCGCCCGATTTCGGTCCGCGGCCACAGGCCCGCATCATGGCGGCCCGTGGCGCACTGTCGACTAGGTTGCCAGCGTCGATGCCCAGGGCAACGTCGTATAGGACACCTTTGTGATTCCACATCTTGCGGTCGCATTGGCATGGGTCCGTTGGTGGGTTGGCCATGCCGCGCTCGCGCGGGCGTAGTCCACGCGCGAGGTATAGGCCGGGGGCGAACCTTCAGAAGGACGCGGAGCGCGACGCCCAGCTGCCGGGCGAGCTCGCCCCGAGAAGTCCTTGTCCAGCGGGGGGTCAGCGAAGCAAGCAGAGCCCTTCGCCTGGCCTTCCCTGGCCGTAGCCATGGCACGGTCGATGTCGGAGCCGGCGCTGGTCTGCTGTTCAGGCGGGATCCAGCTCTGCACGTCTTCGATGCAGCCCTATCGATTTCCGTCCGGTGGCGGGCCCCCATGAACTTGGCTTCGCGCCCAGTGGTTGGCGGCCCTGCCGCGCAGTGCCCACGTGCTGAGCGTGGACTCGCTGGATGTGCTAAACATTCTTCGCCGATGAGGACGACGAAACGCTTGGCCCTGGTGACGGCGACTTTGGCGCGGTTGCGGTTGTCCATGAAGCCCCAGTCGCGCTGGTAATGCGACCAGGTAGCGAGGTGGATCACGACGTCGGCCTCGCTGCCCTGGCTGGAGTCAATGACGGAAAAAGAACGCTGACTGGCGCATAGCATGTCGGGGAACTCGTCTGCTTGGCCGTTGAACTTTAAACCCAGGCCGTTGTCGTCCGCGGAATGCTCGGCGAAGACGCTCCTGGCGGGGTCCTGCGTTTGCCGTCGCCCGGGTGGCGCAGTCAGGCGCGCGCGGGGGCCCGGGCTGGATGCGGCCGCAGCCAGAGAGCCGGTGGGGGGGCGGCTCCTTGGCTTGTCGGGGGCTCCGCTGGGCGCTGCACCTTGCGTGGCTGTCTCCTGCGCACCTCTGGAAGGCGCAGTCCTAGGCCCCCGCGTCAAGTCACGCGCGCTGGCTGTGCATCCGGCCCTGCCTCGGGGCCACCCCCCGCGCGGCGCGCCTCGCTGTGCTGCGTGGTCGCTGATGACTTTGACTGCGATGCCCGAGTCCTTCATGGCGGCGGTCAGCTTTCGGACTGCGTGGGCGCGCGCGGCCGGCCGCCCTCCGGACGTTGCCGCAGCCGCGCTGCGTGGACGGGGACACGCCCCGCGAAGGGTTAATTGTCTATCAGAAAGACGCGGTGGACGTCCCCAGGTGTCGCGTCGTGGGGCGCGTGCGCCGTCGAGCCCCCGCAAGAGTGCGTCGGCGTCTTCCCCAGGGTAAATGGCAAGTCTCCGGGCCCGTTCCTCGTCGATGGACTGTTGCTTTTCCCAAGGTAGGCCGGTGAAGATGGCGCGTTCCGCGGGGGCCACCAGTGCCGATGTGACTTTTCCTCAGTAGCAAGCAGAAACGGGAAAAGCCAGCACGTCGGGATGCATCCTGAAGCATTGCGCAAGGTAAACAACAGCCTCGCTGCCCCCCACCCCCCCGCACACACGGTCATTGAAAGTCTCTCGAAGATGGAGATTCCCATATCCTCCAAGGCGGCTGCATACTTTGACTCCACAATGGGAGGCAGCTGATGCGGGTCGTCGATGAACGCGACGTGGCCAACGCTGGTGGCGACGTTGCACACAGAGATTGCCATTGCCGCGTGAGTCTCTGTACCTGACGTCTGTCCGATTGCGTCGGTCGGTCGCGTAGGGAAGCTGCCCGTACGCTTTGGCGTAATGGCTAGAAGGTGTCAAAGCATGGGCCTCGGGGATGGAAGCCCTGTCGTTCTTTGCGAGTCGCACGGTGCGTGAGTGATAATCAGTGACATCATTGAGGCGTCCATCTTTGCATGCCTGCTCTGGAGCGACTGCCGTCTGGTCTGTTGCAGCGCTGCACCACCGGCGAAAACAGCGACACGACACCTTTTGGGCGCGTCCTGACCCCGGGCGGCTGCTAGAGCCGTTGACATGCTGGTTTCCCCCGAGCCAGGGGAACCCTCACAGACGAATGCCAGATGCTGTAAGCTGGCCTTGAGGACAAGGGCGTGTCCTACGGTAGGCTGGTGGGCAATCGTGGTTTTCTCAAGGCACTGCAGGCTCGGGACAGGGAGTGCTCGCTGGTAGACTGCCCCTGGATGCTGGTCACTTTCCTCCTCAGTGATGCTGCGACAAAAGGCAGTGTAGGCGCCGCGAAAACGAAACCGTCGGGGTCGGGGAGGTTCCCGCCGATAGTGGCCACGGCGCGCAGCCGCGGGTGGTGTCTCAGGAGGCGATTATGATAAGCGTCATTGGCAGATTGCTTGTCGACACGGTCTGCTGTGCCAAACGTCAAGAGATAGGACAGGACGAGGAGGGTCAGTCCCCAGAGGTCGCGCTGGTCAACTGTCGCGTGGAACATCTCAGCCAGCGCTTGCTTATTGCGGTCGTGCTGTGTTGCCGGTGGGGATACAGGAAACGTGAAGGACAAATGTGACTCTGAGTGTAGAGTGGAAGTGCGAGTGGGATTGCGCAGCCGAGAATATGAATGGTAGTGAATATGAGCAGGAGTTGTCTGAATCTGGGTGCCGTAGTCTCAGAAAGAAAAAAAACATATCCCACAACGATGGATGCAAACAACCGTGAGGACCGATGATCGGTCCCCCCTTTGCGATCCGTGGCGCCCCGAGGGTGGAGAGCCGCCGGGCGATAGTGTTAGTATCGCGACAAATTAGCAAATGTTTCAACATATCCGCGAGAGAGGGAGCGATGAAAGTCAGATGAGTGAGACAGTACAAGAGAGGCCTCAAAGCGGCCTCCCCGGAAGCAAGAGACCCCACCGACGGTCCGAATCCTCGAGACGGTCAGTCCTGAGACAATATCAACAGAATGTAAGTCACTAGCAAAACAAGCATTGGATATGGTCAAAAACTGTTAAACAGCCGTGGGTGCGTGCCTGCCCACCTCCCCCCTGTAATTTCAATGTGAGACCCCTGATGACAAAACATGCATGTTGTTCTGCTTCCCTGAGGCGTGGACAACGGCGGGAAACATCGCACCCCCCCGCACCTCCGGCGATATTCAGCACCCGTATTCCAAAATGTGTCCTGTGCCCCCGCCACTTCTGGGCAGTAGAGAACTGGTTATCTGAGCAACAGTGGTGGGACATAGTTGTTGTACATAATCTTAAACAAGGGTGGGCGAAACTTCCTTTTCAAAACGGAACTCTCGCTTGAGACAATTGTGTGAGTCCCATTATGGCGCCCCTCTGGGATCCGACCCTACTGGGATCCTCTTTGAACCCTATCAAAAACCGATTCGACTCCGCTTGGGATTTTACTGGGTTCATGTTGCAACCCTCTTGCGCTCTCATTGGAGTCCGATTGCGGGGGTCTTGTTGGAATCCTATTAGGATCCTGGTGGGATCCCGCACTAAGGGGTCGATGGGCGGGATACCACTTCTGGGGACGAAAGCAATAGTCGATAATCGCTTGCTGCAGTTATGTGCGAGCATCTTGCTAGCGCAGGTTGGCAACCAGGGGATGTCTGGCGATGCTCGTGCCTGAGGCCGACACATTCTGGCGCAAGTCGCCTGGGCGACCCCTTCGCCAGAATTGCGTGCAGGGCAGCGCGCTGGGGGTCGTCGCGCGCCGCCCCCTGGTCGCCGGCGGCGATGGAGCCCAGCAAGGCGCGCACGAAAGCTCGGACGACGGCCTCTCTGGAATCGCGGTCTGCCTTCGCGTCTTCGGTCGCGATGCCCCCACGGCGGGAAGACCAGCCTCGCCGCGCCCGAGGAGCGCGATGAGCCCTCGAACTGCAACCGAGCCGCGCCCTCCAGCGCTGCGTCAGAGGGGGCCGCCGGGAACGCGTCAGTCATCCCGCCCTGGTCAAAAAGCGCAACGAGCTCCTGCCGCATACAAGCCAATCCACCGTTCTTTCTGGCGCCGAGGTGCTCCATAATCTCGGAGAACATGCACGCGCAATACCTGGAGTGCTGCTCTCGGAACACATCCTCCGCAGCTCCGCCCCGCAAGCTCGAGCCGCCCATTGGCGCAAACGTTCCCCCTCCAATCGGCGCGAAGGCTTGGACGCGCGCGCGGCCAGCCCGTAAATGCGCTCGACGCGCGAGATCCTCGTGATGCGAAGGCGCATCCGCATCCGGGCCCTGCAGTCGCTCCGCCCCCCCTTTCCACCCCGTCGCCTCTCGCCCCCCCTACCTCCCGCTCCCCTCGCCTCTCGTCCCCCTCCCTCCCCCCTTCCTCCTTCCGCCATCCGTTCTCCATGATCCCGCATCTTCACCATAATTCAAAGATTCCTCATCCCATCCACTCCTTCCTATTCCTACCCATCCTGCTCTTCCTCCCACTCATCTGTTCCACGCCGCATCCCTCCCAAGTAAAGCCTGTCTCCCCATGCTTGATCAGGACGTCACCCCTCTTGAAGACGTAATCCGGCCGCCCCGCAAATGACGGGAGCACTAGGCAACAAGCAGACAATAGTCGGCAAACTCATCGGCACACTTAAGTGTAGAGAGCAGGTAGTGGCAAGAGTGCATGTGAGCCCGAGCTTAACCCCAACCATCTACAATGGGATCACCCCGAACCTGACCATGTTACTTCGAATGGTCCAGCGCCGAACTGTAGCCAGTGGCTACTGTGCGCGATACAAATGCGGATGCAACTGCTAAGAAAACGAATGCAATTGAAATGCTGACGGTAAGGATAATCCTGCTGTCAACTCACGTTTCCAAGCGTCACAGGAAGAAAACGGATATGAGTAAGAAAAGAAGGAGCAGGAGGAGGAGGAGGACGAGGAGGAGGAACACCGGCTCCCTGAGGATCACCGAAAGCGAGACCGAATGCCCGACGACACCTCGCGAGTGTCTGTCCCAATGCCCGAACTCCACCACGGCGCTTGGCAGCCAGCCGCAAACGTCCCTCAAGAAACTTCTGCCAAGGGGATAATGCTGAAAACAGATCGGAAGCCCGCTTTTTGTTAGCGCTTCTGCAAGAAACGGCGGCAGTGCAGTCCAAAGAAGACCTGGGCAAGGTCGGGCCGCTGGTTCCTCATCCGCCTCCTCCTGTTCCTCCAAACCTTTTCTGTACTGTCGCGCGCAAGACGGACTGAAGTCACAGCGGGCAAGACCAGCAAGACAGACGGCAAAACAACCAAGATAACAAGCACGAGGGGCCGTACCCTCCACCCCCACTGCCACCCTTTGCCTCAGACTCCTCCTCCGCCCCATCGCCCCACGCTCTCCCTTTCTCTGCGATGGTTCTCGCGGTACTGCGACACGCACCGAACATAAAAATTGTGTCTGCAAGTCGACGTAGATTAATGGCCCGCTTCAACATCAAAACTGTTCCCCATATAACCAAACGGAACTGTTTGTGCCATCTGTCGTTGGCGATGGCGGTCTAAGGTGAGATAGCGTTGCAAGGCAAACCATAAACCGCAATTTGAGGCGGACAGCTGGCAAACAAAGGTAGCGAGCGAGAGAAAGAGGAAGAGAAAAGGTGACAGAGAGAGAGAGAGAGAGAGAACGAGAGAGAGAGAGAGAGAAATAGATGACGAGACAGAGAGAGAGAAAGAGAGAGAGAGAGAACAACACAACAATCACACACACATACAGCGCGGAAGAGAGCGAGAGAGAGGGATACAGCTGAAAACATATACAAGGAGGGGGAGAGAGAGAGAGAGAGAGAGAGAAAGAGAAATAGAGAAAGAGAGAAGGAGAGAGAAAACGAGGAGAGAGAGAGAGAGGGAGAGAGAGAGAGAGAGAGAAAACAAAAAAGATAGACACATAAACAACGAGAGAGAGAGAGAGAGAAAGAGAGAAAAAGAGAGATAACTCAAATCGAAAAACAAACGAAACAACCACAAAAAATGGATAGAACGTGGTGTGTGAATATTTATATGTACAGACAGAGAGATTGAGAGAGAGAGAGAGAAAACACAAAAAAAACAAAAAGACAGAAAGAGAGAGAGAGAGAGAGAGACTGAGAGGGAGAAACATACAGCGAGAGGGAACCAACATATCGAGAAATACAGAGAGAGAGAGCGCACAAACAAGCAATCAAAAAAACAGTTTTTTCGTTTTTTAATACAACAAAAAAACACACACAGCGCGCAACACAAATCGCCCAAGGCACGACCCAATGAATCGCGAAACCGTTTCGCGAGGGGCATGCACGCGCACCCACCCCCCCTCGCGGAGAAAGGGGGAGGTGAGGGTCGCTCTTTTTCTCGAGCAACAAAGGGCTGCAGGATTTCCTGGATCCTCCAGGACAGTCTTATTATATTTTCTATAATCACATATATGTGTAAAACTACAAACTTCCTAGCACCTCTCCTTGGGCGCGGGAAGCGGCTCGGCCTCCAGCCGAGAAGAGTGAGCCACAGGGAAACCACTTTGTCCTCCCTTAGCAGGCCTCGCAACGGCGCTGGCCACCTAAGCCCATCGCGGGGCTACCCGCAGAGGGCAGGCGCGGGGCAAACCGCAGCCTGTAAAAGAAAGCTCACCTTCGGCTGTCGTAGTGCTTCCTGCGACCATTCTCCTGGCCCTCTCCGTGGATCACCTGAGAGCCTCTGGAACGGTCTCCGCACTCGCTCTTGAACGTCTCGATCCACTTCTGCGCGGCCTCTGGACTGCTGATGTCATGCAAGCTGAGCTTGGCAAGAGGTCCATACGCTGTAGCCATCACCCGTAGCTGCTCGATCTCTTTGGCCTGGCGATCCGACAGAACGCATCCGTGCTTGATCATCCTCGTGACCAGGTCCTCCTTGATCCCTGACACGGCCAGGCCCTTGGCCTTCAAGACAGCTCGCAGCTCAGCTACAAGAAACGTGCTTAAGAGCTTGTGCCTTGCACCTTTGTCCTGCTGTACACACACGGTCTTGAACTCGACGCCAGCCCGCGCAGATGGTGTGCAAGTGCTTCCAGAGGCGGGGTTAACCGCACCCTGGAGGAGGAACTTGTCGTAGAAGTTCTTGAAGTAGCAACCACACCAGCACCCCAGTAAAAAAGCACTGGCTGCAGTCACCACAACAAGCCCCAACTTCAGGAAGAACCAGAACTCCTCGCTGTCCACGTAGTGGCTGACAGGCGCGGGGCAAACCGCAACCTCGTCAGAACCTCCGTACACTGTCACCTTCTCGCCTGACGCCTTCGTCACGACCTCTGTGAAAACTGCCATTGCGCTCAAGCCCTTCAACTGCTTTCCGAACCTGAGGTTGAGAGTGGTGCAATGCTTCTCGATTGTCGGCCACTCGCTGTACTTCGTGAGCATGTCGGCTGTCATCTTGCTGGTGTCCTCCTTGTGAAGCTCGAACGCCTTGAGACGCAACCGCTCCTGAATCCACAAGTACCTCAACTCCAGGTGCCTGACCTTGCCCACCCCAACTCGGCTGCACATGCCACGTCCAGCTGTGCTGTCACTATAGATCTTCAGGTTGCAGGGCCTCTGGGTCTCGATCAGGTAAGTCTTACACTGAAGTCCTCTGGCTGTCGCACTTCCCGTAGCGTACATCTCGGATCCCCCTGAACTTAGGGCTATCGTACTCTGCGTCACTGAGTAGCAGTCCCAAGTGTGGTCACCATACCTCACAGCTCCTCCACTGGTAGATCGCCGCTGTAGTTCACTCGTAGGTGCCCAATCTGCGTCACCATCTACACGAATGCCTTCAGGAGTACCTTGAAGTGGGTAACACCAGACCAACACAGGCTGTCCCTCGTAGTACCTTCCAAGTCGCTGAACACGCGCATGCATCAAGACGTTCGGGTTGGAGACGTGCTGCATCGCTGTCTTGCTGGCGTACATCGTGTCGGGCCTATCCGAAGAAAGGTAAAGAGCGGTGCCTGCTGCACCCGCCACTTCTCGAGCACGATCCTTGGAAAGAAGGTCTAGGCTGTCTCGTCGGCCTTGTCCTGTAGCTTTCGTTCCTGGAGTGGGAGCTGGTTTACAACCTCGCTTCTGCGTCCACTTGATCATGAAGTCCACATGCTTAGGATCGGCAGTCCAGAAGAAACCCGGCTCCTCGCAACCTGGCAACTTGTCGGTATAGCCGATCGTCCTCTTGAGGTATGTAGTCTGCCCCACCGCTCCTGGTCCAAGTCTGGCGCTGGCCGTGACCTCAAACTGCTGCCTCAATAACTCGTCCAGCTCGTCCAGCTGCTCGTCGTAGCCTTCAGCAAGAAAGTCATCGCCATGGCAGATCGCTGTGCTATCCTCGTCGACGGGGGCTGTGTTGGGGCTAGCAGGTAAGTAGAACACGTTAGGAGTTCCAACCAAGCAGTCCCAATGACCGTCGTCCATAGTAGTTCTCACAAGCTCACCCCACATCTGCGACGCCTTCCTGGTACCGTTCATGGCCTTGCGTAACCACCAGCACCTTCCGGGCGGACACAGTTCTCTCCCAGGATGCACGTAGATCGTCTCGTCTAAGTCAGCGTTGAAGAAAGCCTTCCTGACGTCCCAAACTTGTATCTTCCGCAGGTGCTGCCCGCTGGAAGTTGGACTTGAAGCGGCACGGCTCAGCGTCGCTCTGACAATCATGAGCGGGGGCGTGCCTTGGTGGTTATCCTCCCTGACCTCGTACTTGTTCACCTCGGTGGCTACGAACCTCCACCTAACCTTTCCTTCTTTCATGTGGGCTATCGGGAAACCTCCAATGTGCTTGCCGTCAGTCGCCGTCGATGTCGCCACTTCCACGTAGACCCCGTAGTCCTTCATGGCCTGCAGCTCGTCGTCGCGACCCTTCTGATACAGGTCCTCATCCAGAGGCTCTCCAGTGTAGTAATCGTAGTGTATCGTCTTTGGGCTCCACTGGTCTTTCTCATGCAGCTCGGCGCTCACCTCAACCATCTGCTCCACCTGCTGCTCCTCAGGATCTCCTAAGTGGCTCCTGATCGTGCCGATGTGGCTCATCAAACATCTCCTGCATGCACACTCAGCTTGGTGGCATTCTTGTAGCTGGCATCGTGACGAGTGCTTCTCACACCTCTCGGAACATCTCGCACTACGCTTTGGGTGTGGATCCCACATGGGGTCGAAGCTCTCGTCGTAGCCCTCCTCGCAGACTGCCAACTCACAGACAGAGAGATGCCCAATGCTTGCTACCCTGGGCTTCTTGACCTCAGCTCCTTCACGAACTTCACCTGGGGCACTTCGCTGAAAGTCGCTCCTCAGCTCTCCACTCTCCGTGTCCATGGCTGTCTGCACCTCAGCCTCTCCTGGGCCAGGAACCATAGCTACGTCGCTGGCAGCAGGTGCGGGGCTCACCGCAACCTCACTGCTGCTTGATGCCGCTGCTCCTCCGGGTGCGGCTCCAGGCGCGGGGCTTCCCGCAGCCGGCGCTGGCACCACGACTGTAGCCTCAGGGGCCACAGGGTCCTTCGCCAACTTCTCGCGCAGCAAGTCGGCCTGAATGGTCTCGA